AGGAGGCGGAGGAGGAGGAGGCGGAGGAGGAGAAGGCAGAGGCGGAGGAGAAAGAAACTCCGATGCCGACAGCAGGAGGAGGAGGAGGAGGAGGAGGAGGAGGAGGAGGAGGAGGAGGAGGAGGAGGAGGAGTGGGAGGAGGAAGAGGATGAGGAGGCGGAGGAGGAGGAGGCGGAGGAGGCGGGCGAGGGGCGGGCTGGATGCCGAGGGTGAGCGCCGCCAACCGGCGAAGGACAGCCCTGCACATCGTGACGGCAGGGGCCGAGCGCGCCGACGGCGACCCCCCACGCGCCGAGCTGCCCACAGAAGCGGTTTCATGTCGGCGGCCACGCGCGCAGCAGCATGGCGGTCACGAGAAAGCACGGGGGGCCGAAGCACGAGAGCCGGAGGGGCAGGCGGACCAGGAGAGGCGGCGGCCACGGCACCTGCACCAACAGAAGCGCGCACACACACACAATCGCTGCCCCCCTCCCCTGTCGGCCCCTGTGCCGAGCACGTGCCCTGCGTGGCCCCGCGGGCCTTCTCCTCGGCCCCATCCGCGCCGTCCTTGCCCTCCATGTCCGCGTCGTTGTCCCAGTCCTCGGAGGCGGCGGCGCCGGGCTGGCGTCGATCTGGGTGGGGTGCGGACGTCGAGCGGCGAAGCTGCATGCGCCCAGACGCGTCGCCAACTGTGGGGGAGGCATCTCATCGTCTGCGCATGTGGAATGCTATAAAAAAAAACGCACTGCGCGCCTGGCCTCCACACACGAATTTCGATTGGGGGGCATGGGGGACGAGGGCGAGGACAGAGAGGAAGAGAGGGGAGGAGCAGGAAGAGAAAGGCAGATGGGGATCTGACGTGCTTCTGCGGTGAGAAGCGGCAAACAAGTAGCTTCTCGAGGAAACGCTGAACACTCGTTGCGCACACATCCGCATGCGTGCGAAAGGGCTCTTCCTATTGGGCCAGCCTCGCAGGCGATGCCGTAGAAACGCCAGGTCGAAGCGAATGGTGGGGGTGCCTTGATGGTCAGATGATCGGCGCAACTTCAGGTACACTAACTCTTCGAGTGGTGACCTGTTGCTTCTCCTCCCCCTCCTCCTCTTCCTCCTTCTCCTCCTCCTCTTCCGCTTCATCCCCCCTTGCTCCCCCTTCTCCGTCCTCCCCCTCCGTATCCTGCTCCTCCTTATGTTCCTTTTCCCTCCTCCTCGTCCTCATCCTCCTCTTCCTTCTCCTCCTGCCCTCCTCCTCAGCTACCGGCCTCCTCCTCCTCCTCCTCCTCCTCCTCCTCCTCCTCCTCCCCATCTCTTGCTGCTGCTCCTCCTCCCCCTCCTCCTTCCCTTGTTTTTTCGTCCTCCTCCTCCTGCGATCTCCTCCTCCAGCTCCTGCTCACGCTGCTCCCAATGTCCTCCTCCTGCCCTTGCTGCTGAAGGCTACAGGGTCTCAATGAGATGCAGCCTGTCTTCTTCTCCCCCTCCCCCTCCATCCGTTTTATTTCTAAATATCTCCTCTCCGTTGCTCCCCCGGACGTGCCCGTGGGGCGGGCCGGGTGCCTCGCCCGAGACTTCCCCACCACTGCTGATCCTGAAGCCAGAAGCTTGCAACACCCCTGGGCCGTTTTCCAAATGGATCTCTCGCCTTAGGGCGGCCCGTTTTTAACATGGGACTGTCGAATTAGCGCTGCGCGCAACAACCTTGCAAGCTTGCACTCGCTCCACAGCGCTGCGCACCTTCGTCTTACAAGCTTGCGATCATTTCAGATGGAAGGTGGGCCGTTTTCAAAAGGGGGCTCTCGCCGCAGCGCTGCGCGCATGGGCCGGAAACGTCCGCAGCAATTGCAGGGGCGGTGGGCGGTTGCTTGTCCAGGAGGGGCCGTCGCTGGAGCTTCTTGCCTGCTGACGGCCAGAAGCGTTCGCTTGTGCAACGTCTGGACGTGTGAGGGGCGGACCTTTTCACGATTGGGCCTTGGCCTGAGGCCCGAGGCTTCGTTGGACCTCGGGGCCGGAATCCTGAACGTGTGGTACTGCTGCGCGGACGGAAGGCGGCTCCTGTTCGAGAGGGGGCTCCCGCCCTCGATGCTTCCTCGGCGCTCGTCGCCACGCGCGGGAACCTGTGCAGCCGAGCTGCCCCGGACACGCAGCACGCAGCTCGTAGCGTGCTGACGCGGAAAGCTCCACCCGTGGACGGAACGCGCAGGTCTGGTGACCGATGCGTTCGCCGGGCGTGGGCCAACACGTGGGGACCTGTGCAGCCGAGCTGCCCCGACACGCAACACGCAGCTCGTGGCGTGCCGACGCGGAGCTCCCCCCGTGGACGGAACGCGCAGGTCTGGTGACCGATGCGTTCGCCGGGCGTGGGCCAACGCGTGCCGAGCCAGCACGCCACGTGTCAACACGGACGAGGAGGAGGAGGAGGAGGAGGAGGAGGAGGAGGAGGAGGAGGAGGAGGAGGGCGGGAGGAGGAGGAGGAGGAGGAGGAGGAGGAGGAGGAGGAGGAGGACGGTCGGTGCTACCTTTGGTAACGGGCGTCCCAGGGTAGCTGAGCTGCGCAAAGGGTTGCACGGGTGAGGACGGTCCTATCTCCACAAAAGTGAAGGGGCCCTGGGACACACAAATAAATACACACACAAATAAAAGGAATCCCCAACTTTTCCCATCTTTTCGGGTTTTCTGCCTTTCCCCCCCCACTTCCCATATGTTCCCATATTTTCGGGGGGAATCGACGACTCAGTGTGTCTGTGTGTGCTTCTTTCCCTCCTGACCAACAGGGGCCTTCGCTGGATGCCTGCCTGAACTGCATGCTCGGCCACACGCCAAGCGCGACCCCGGGGCAAGAGTGACCTCTGCTGCGCGGCCCCTCGAGGGCCGCGGGGGGGCCAAACCCGAGCGCGCCAGACGCTGCAGTGAACACGTACAGTAAGGACGCGTGGCAAGGACGCACGACCCTCGGAGGCCGAAGTTGAAGTATCCTGGCCTGCGAAAATTGCTAGGGACGGGCCGCAGAGGCTGAGACGGGCAAGGACCCAAGGGCACCCTTGAAAAAGTCGTTTGTCCTTACTATGCGCGTTGACTGTACTCTCGCATCGCGTTCGGCGATCGGTGGACCCCATTGGGCCCGCACCAAAGGTCACTCTGGCGGAAGGCCACTCTTACGAGTAGTCGATCTGCTCGCACTCGGGAGCGGCCAAGAGGGGGGTGTCCAAGAGGGGGGGTGCAAATCATGACCGGCGGCATGTGCGCGGCCCAGCGGAGGGGCCCGGGACGTAATGAGATAAGACGAGGCGCCAGGAGATCAGGGGAAGTATCATGGCCCCCGCCATGATATCCACCCCCTCTAGTCATCACCCCCCTCTTTTCCGCCCCCGATCTTACGTGTAGTCGACATGTTTTGGTAGTCCCCAAACGTGGTGGTGACAACACCTGGCGGTGAGTCTCGGGCGATTTGGTGTCACCACCCGGTTTGGGGACTCGTGCGGTTTTCCGAGGATGTCCCGGACACTGGTGGGTCCAGGAGTCACAAAACCCGGTGGTGACCCCGCGTCCCCAAACCCAGCGGTGACCTTTTGGGGGATTCCAGGTCGCCACCTGGTATCTCACCACCCGGTTTGGGGGTTCCCAAACCTCTGCGCCACTCCCCACCACCCGCCGGAAGAAGGATGCGGGGCCGCGCGTTCTCCCGAGAAACGGCGGGGGGGCCCTCGCCGGAGCGGCAGGCCCTGTCGGCTGGCCGGTCTCTGAAGGAGAGGCGCTTCTGGAAGCTCGTCGGGGCTATGGAGGAGGGAGGAGGGAGGAGGGAGGAGGGTGGAGGGAGGAGGGAGTGAGGAGGATGGGAGGAGGGAGGAGGGGAGGTGGGAGGAGGGAGGAGGGAGGAGGGAGGAGGAGGAGGAGGAGGGAGGAGGAGGAGGAGGAGGCGGATGAGGTAGGAGGAGGAGGAGGAGGAGGAGGATGGAGGTGAGGAGGAGGAGGAGGAGGAGGAGGAGGATGTGGAGGGAGGGAGGGAGGGAGGGATGGGAGGGAGGGATGGGAGGGATGGAGAGAGGGAGGAGGGAGGAGAGGAAGGAGGAGGGAGGGGCGGGAGGAGGAGGAGGAGGGAGGATGGGAGGAGGAGGCGAGGAGGAGGAGGAGGGGGAGGAGGAGGAGAGGAGGAGGAGGAGGTGAGGAGGAGGAGGGAGGATGGGAGGAGGGGAGGGAGGAGGGGGAGGAGGGAGGAGGAGGAGCAGGAGGAGGAGCAGGAGGAGGAGGAGGAGGAGGAGGGACGGGAGGGTGTATGGCAGCATCGCTGATGCATCTTGGGCTTGCTCTGGCTTTCCTTCGCCTTCTCCTCCCTCCTCGGTTCTCTCGCTTCCTCCTGCTGGGGCTCCTGCTGCTGCTCATCCTTTCCAGCCCCCCTCCCTTACGACACCGCATCGCGAGGCCCCTGAACCGACACGGACAAAACGCCAATAAGCATCTCCTCTGGCAGGCGCACCGTGAAGCGGCCTGGCGCCAGTGCTTTAGGGCGGCTGCGTATCAGCGCGCACTCCTTCTGCTTCAACTTTTGCGTCTACTCCAACCAAAGCTGCTGCCGCTTTCCCCTCCCCTATCCCCCAGTTACTCCGCATCCAGCTCTCCCTCATCCACCTTCGACTTGGCGTCGCCGCGTCCTTTTCCGCCTCCGCCTCCTTCTCCTTTCCTTCTGCTGGCGGACTCCTTCCTGGGGTCAATCCCTCGCGCCATTCTCCTTCCAACCCTTCTTCACATTCCTTCTGCCTCCCTTGCGTATTGCCCCTGGCGAACCCCTCCCCCACACTTGCGGCAGCTCCATGTCTACAGGCACCCTGATCACTGGTGGGGTCCTCTTCTGCCATCTCGACGCCGTCGTACTCTCGGTCGAACTCCTCGTCCTCGCCGTACGAGTCTCGCCATGGTGGCCAAGCCTCCCGGGGAGGTGCGCAGCACGGCAGGACAGAGATCACGCCGCGACTGGCCTCGCCACGAGCAGGGGCGTGATGCACGCAGCTGTGGCGCAGCAGTGAGCGCAGGCTGCTCTTCCAGCTCTCTCGAGCACACGCTAACACGGATGCCGGCTCCAGGGGGATCCTGCGCGCGGGCGCCACCAGTGCACGGCCTTCCCGGCCACGCAGCTCGCCGTTCTCGCGTGGGAACGTGACCCGCCGCGATATCCACCCGCCTTGATCCACATCTGCGTTTCCTCTCCTCCTCCTCCTCCCCCGATCCCCTCCCTCTCCGCACATCCTCCCCTCTTGCTCGCCGGCGCGCACAAGGGGGGCTAGGGGGCATGAGGGGAAAGCTTCTTAGGAGGAGGCCGCTTCTTAGAAGGCGCCGGCGCTACATCCATGGAGAAGGCCCGCGCCCTGTAAGAAATAGGGGTGTTTCTCAGAAGCTTTCCCCCCTCCCCCTGCCGACTTGCGCTGATGAGCCTGCCCCAGGGGTGTGGGCGGCTCGTGGGGCGGCGCAGGCCCGCTCAGCTTAGAATCGCGTGCTGGGCTGCGCCGCCGCCGCCGCTCCCTTCCTTCTGCCTCTGCTCGCATGCTATGCCGTGCTCGCCCGGTGCAGGAGCAGCGGGATACCATCTGGGCGTCGATCTAAAACGGGTCCTACGCGAGATAACACGGCGACCTTGCGCCGCAGCTTACGCGGGCCGCCACCGCGGCACGATACATCGGAAACGAGTGCGCTTGCGCGCGACCTTTCGAGGGCAGCCTGCGCGCCAGTGCCGGTGGAGACGAACCCGTTTTTTTCCGCGTCGCTGGCGAGCGACGCCTTCCCCCTCCTCCTCCTCCCTCCTCCTCCTCCTCCTCCTCCTCCTCCTCCTCCTCCTCCTCCCCCCTCCTCCTCCCTCCTCCTCCTCCCTCCTCCTCCTCCTCCTTCTCCTCCTCCTCCTCCTCCAACTGGCGCGCCTTCGGCCGGCCGCTGCCGCGGGGGGCTGGCCTCTCGGACACCTGGGGGTCAGGGTCCGTGCCTCTATGGTGCCCCGCGACCGGGCCAAACGAGCGGGATAATTCGACCGAACCCCATTTTGGACACCCGAAATGGGTACCGAAAGAATGGGTACAATACCCAACAACAAGTGTTGTCCCAAACCAACAGCGGCCGCTGTTGGGCGGGCGGCCTTCTGTCTCGAATGGATACAGGCCGCGGCGGCGCGGACAGCGAATCCTGTTCAGAATGAACAGGAACTGCTGTTGGGCATCGTACCCGTTCTTTCCGTGCCCATCCCGGGCGTCCAGACCCATCACGCAGAACATATGGTTCCGGCAGGGAAACCTAAGCCAGAGCAGCCTCCCCTCCCCGCCTCGTTTCTTTTGCTGACGCTGCGCAGGCATGCACCGCACAGCTGGCATGCGAGGCACCTGCAACATGCAAATCAGACTTGGACGACAGGACCTTGCGGCCAGGAACTTTTGTTTAATGTGTCGCGCCGCGCGATCGGACAGCGTGTCGCTCCGCTCCGCGAAGCGGGAGGCCAGGCGAAATTCGTAGCGTTGGCACTTGGGGACTGGGGCGTGGTTAGCGTGTCGCCCCGAGACTTAGTGGGCCACACACACGCACTCATGCACACATGCACTCATGCACACACAAGTCAAACGACCCTGTCGGCGTGTGGAAGAGGCTGTTCCGTTTGACTCGTCGTCGTCGTCGTCATCGTCGTGGTCGTTGTCGTCGTCGTCGCCTTCGCCGTTCCCCTCTCCTTTCCCTAGGCCGTTCGTAAGTCGAAGGGAAGACCCTTCCCTTTGATCCCTTCCCCGCCGGGGGGGAGGTCCAGGGGAGGTCCCGGGGGGGGTCGCCACCCAGATACGACTACCCCCCCGGAGGGGGGGGTCGCCACCCAGATACGACTCCCCCCTGGGCGGTTCGGGGGCCCAGAAACGCCCCAAGAACGCAAAAGTGCCCCAAGATACCCCGAAGACGGTGCTCGAGGGCTCCGAATCACCGAAGTATCGATCCAAGTCGCCGAAGTAGCCTCCAGACGGCTCAAAAGGTTTCAAAACGCCTCAAGAGGCCTCCAAGAAGACTCCCAAGAGGGCCCCAAGGGGCAAACATCATCGAGTTCCCTTACGTTTTTGAAAGGTTTCGACATTCTCGCCTTGTCAGCTTCCAGACGCTCCAAGACAGGCCAAGAGGCCTCAAAGACCGCCCCAAGATAGTCCAGAGGCCTTCAAGGCAGCCCGAGAGGCCCCCAAGACGTCCTCAAGAGGGAGCCCAGACGAGGGACCCGAACGGTCATTTCGAGCCGCCCTCGGCCTGAGAAGCTCCCAGGAGGCCCCCAGAGGCCCCTAAGACGCCCCCCAAGAGGCCCCAAGAGGCCCCCAAGAAACCCCCGGGAAGCCCCAAGAGGCCCTCACGATGCTCCCAAGCGGCCCCCAAGAGCCTCCCAAGAGGCCCCCCAAACTACCCCCAAGAAGCACCCGCGAGCGCTCGTCGTCGTCGTCGTCGTCGTCGTCGTCGTCGTCGTCATCGTCGTCGTCGTGGTCGTCGCCATTCAGGGTCGGCGACGCTGGCCGCAAAGCCTTCGCAATACAAACACACCCACGAACACAGCGCACACAAACGCACCCCCCCACACACATACACACACACACACACACGCGCCCACGCCACACCCACACCCACCCACGCACACACACATACACACCCCCTACGCACGCACACACAGACACACAGACACACAGACACACAGACACACAGACGCACACACGCACACACGCACACACGCACACACGCACACACGCACACACGCACACACGCACACACGCACACACGCACACACGCACACACGCACACGCGCACAAACGCACGTACGGACGCACACGCGCACACACGCACGCACGCACGCACACACACACGCGCGCGGGATTTCATCATTTTAAAATGGCAAGTTCAAACACATATCGGCTTTCAATGCTTATGGGCGTCGCTCTTAAACGCAAAGCCGTTTTGCGCGTATAGTATACTGCACTTGACACCCGGCGTGTTCAACGTTGTCCTCGCATTCTTCAAAACAATATCTTTCGCTCGAGGCAACCTTGCTGTCGGGACATCTTTTTGACTGCAACGGCAAGGTGTGGAACGCCCTCCTGCGCTACATACAACGCAGGGTGTGGCAACCCCACCTGCGTTCGACTGCGATCCCGCTGGTGCACCTCCTTCCCAACACCCCCTTGGTGATCCTCATTTTCCTCCATCTCTTTGTTTTTCTCTGCTTCTCCATCTCATTTCTCCTTCCCCTCGGATCCGACTTCATATTCGTCTTTTTGTCAATTCCCCGTGCTGCTTGCTTGCATGCTGTTATTCTTTCTCTTCTGAGCCTGGACACGCATGTTCCTCTTGTATACAACAGAATATACAACACATGTGTGTGCACATCTATACATAGTTGTGTAGACGCATATAGAGATGACGAGGGAGTGAGCGAGAAGGATAGACATGTAGAGAGAGAGATATAGCGCGAGAGAGAGAGAGAGTGATATATATATATATATATAGAGAGAGAAAGAGAGAGAGAGAGAGAGAGAGAGACACACACACACACAACAACGACAGAGCGAAAGAGAGAGAGAGAGATAGAGAACGCTATATACAGACATATATATATATATGTATATATATACACATATACACATATCTATAACTATAGAGCGAGAGCGGGAGAGAGAGAGAGAGAGAGAGAGAGACAGAGAGAGATCGAGAAAGAGAACGAGATAACCATATACTCTTCCGCCTCCTGTTGTTCCTGCTCGTGGTTCCCCCTGCCCCTCCTCCTCCTCCCTCCCTCGCGGGGTGCCTGCTCGCCGTCCCCGGGCTCGGGCTCGGCCTCGGCCTCCTCCTCGGGCTCCTGCCGAGGAGCAGGAGGGACCACGGGGAAGACGAGCGAGGGGAGGACGAGAACAGGGGCAGAACAGGGGGAGGACGAGACAAGGGAGAAGAGCAGGGGGGGACGATGGTCGAGAGAGGGGGGGGGGGGGGGGGAGGAGCCGGCTCCTCTCGGTGGGCCGAGAAGGGGGCGCGCTCCACGCAGCCAGGCGCGCGGAGGGCGTAACACCTCCCTTCCTCCCTTCCCCTCCCCTCCCTCCCCCTGCCTCTCGTGCCCCCCCCCCGCCCCCTCCCCTCGCCCTGCCCCTCCTCCTCTGCCTTCTCCCACCTCCCCCATCCCCCCTGCCCTCGCCCTGCCTCTCCCGTCCCTGCCCTCGCCCCTGCCCTCGCCCCTGCCCTCGCCCTCGTCCACCCCCCGTCCCTCGTCCCCCCCCCCGTCCCTCCCCCGCCTGCCTCTCCCCCCCTGCCTTCTCCCACCCTTCCCCCCCCCCCTCCCCCCTGCATTCCCCGAGCGGTGCCTGCACCCGGGGCGCGCTCCCGAGGCGGTGGCTGGCTGGGTGTGCCGGGCCCGCCGCCCGGGTGGCCGCGCGTGGGCGCCTCGTCGGCGGCCCGCGCGTCGCGCTGCCTGGGCGGGCCACGTTCCTGCCGGGCCGGCACGGCGGCCGCCCCGTGGGCGCCTCGTGCGCCGGCGGGGTGTGCGCGCCGGGCGCTCGCCAGGGAGCGCCGCGCGTGGGAGCCCGTGCAGGCGCCTGCGCGGGCTGGGTGCGCCGGGCTGTCGCCCAGCGGCCGCGCGTGGGCGACGGGTCGCCACCCCACGCGCTGTTGACACCCATCGCGTGCGCCAGAGGCGCGTTCGCGTTTTTTATATATAAAAAATCTGAAAACGAATTTAATACTTATATTTTAGTATATGATGATTATTATTATTACTAGTATGTTTTCTATTACTACTACTAGTACTATTACTATTAAAACCTTCAAGAGACCGAAAATCCCCCCCCTGCCGAAGCTGGACCCAGCCGCCTCCCTCCGCGCATGGCGCCGTCATGGTTAGTCTGCACGATCGTTCATGTTACAAGATCCAAGCATACCATGCCAACTGGCGCGCTATCGCCCCCCACCCACACCCTGTCAACAAGAAGCATTACTATGTGGTGCGCGCGCTTTGATGCAACAAATGCGTTTTGTCAGAATCGAAAGGGAGTGATACCATGCGGTCCACATGCGCGTGTACATACCAACATCATTCAAACCGCATGGGCCGTTGAGACACGTCCAGAAATACGTGCACGGATGGCATTTTCCCTAAACGGTGCTCGCACTTAGGAGCTTCTTACTTCTGCTCTAAGAGACTGGGCTTAAGTGCAGCTCAGATGGCCTCGGGTTGTTTTGTCGGTCTCTGCGTAGCCGGGGCATATCACGCGCGCTCCGAGCCGGTCCGCGCTCGTCCTGAGCCAGCCGATCCCGCCGAAGAGCTCCACGACCGCGGCCCACCGAGATCTGATGCTGCCCCGCTGCCGCTCCCTCATCGGTAAGGCTGGTTCCCACTGAGACTCCTCCGCCTCGCTCTGAGGCATCGGCGGCAATCGGGCGGCAATCGAGCGGTCGGCGCATGCCAGCGACCAGCATCGGCAAGCTCATCATGCACATGACTAGCTCGTCACTCGCTCGGTCTCCGAGCTGCGCTCGGCTCGATGGGAAGTGCGCCCTGCCGATCCAGCGCCGCGCGTCGTCGAGGCAGCGCAATACTTGGCGTCGCAACGTGAAGTTGGACACCCAGCGGCCGCGCAAGGCCTGCATCTCGACGAGGCTCGGGTTCTGCTGGACCAGCGCCCAGGCCGTCAACGCCCAGTGCTCCAAGATCCTCTCGACGGGCGGCGCGGCTCGCCCCGCGAGACCGTCCGCGCCCGCGCCCTTGCGCAGAGCGCGGGTGGAGCGGGCGACCCCCTTCTTGATCGAGGTAGGGGCCGACATGGCCTCAGGCGCTCGCCGCAGCGCGGCCTGGTGCTCGGAGAGCGTCCCCTGCAAGTCCTCCCACTCTGAGGCCTTCGCGAACTCCGTCTCCTCTGAGTCGTAAACGTGCGTGCTCCAGTGCCACCTCTGAACGGGATTGTCACGGGCGGGGAAAGGCTGGTCTCGTCGCGGCTCCTGGCTCGCCGCTAGCCTTGCGCTGGCCCTCAGCCCGTCCGAAGCAATCTGCCCGTGCACGTGCTGCGCCGCCCCGACCGCCGACAACCGCCCCATCGGGATGACCCTCGCGCAGACGTACGTCTCACGGTACTCCGCGGCGCTGACCCGCCTCCTCCGCGGCTTCGAGAAGGAAAGCCAGCGCCGACAGCGTGCCAGCAGAACGCATAAGTGAAAACGCCCCGAAATGTCGCCCCCGGATTCAGAGCAACCTCGTCGTTCATCTGCACAGCCTGCGTGTACCCTCCTGGGAGGGGGTGCTTGTCGATGTCTCCCATGATGAGGGTCTGATCAGCGTTCGTCGGCGCAAGGTTGGCGACCGGGCGCTGCTGATGGCGATGGCCCTCGGGCGCTCTTCCATTCTTTGCCGCGCCGAAAACTCCGTCCGTCGCCCAGCCGCGTCCCGTGGGTCACGGGGGCGCGGGCCTCCTCGACCTCCGCTGGGAGTCCACGATCCAGCAGCTGCCCAGTGACGCAGTCCTATTCGTCATCATCGCAGTGCGCCGTGGCTGGCTCCGCCTCAGGCATCTCAGCGAGCGGCAGGATGAACGGCCCCTCGTGCTCGAGGGCGCAGCGCACGGCGTCGCTGCAGAAGTGGACCGCCTCCAGGTTACCGCGCCGCTCCACGGGTAGAAGTCCCGGCTCGATCAGAGCCCACGTCAGCTTCTCGGGCTTAGCGACAGGGGGCTTGCCAACATCGCTCCAAGCGATGCGCTGCAGCTCTGCCTTGCTCCCTGCGCGAGTGCAAAAGAGCACGGCAGCCTCTTCCACGCGCTGCGCCGCCTCCTGCTGCGACGACGCGTGCCGAGGAGCATCTGGCGGGCGCCTGTCAGCTATGGAGCTACGATCACCGCGCCGGTAGCTCGTGAGCAACTCCTGCAAGCACGTCCAGGCCGCGACGCAACCTTCCAGCGGAAGGAGCGCCTGTCGCCGTCGCGATGCAACATCACGCACCTAGGGTCGCTCAGATGCTGGAGCACGGCCTCGGCGCGCTTGCCCTCGCTCGGCAAAGGCAGGGGCAGCTGGGGGCCCATCTTGACCATGTTCATTGGGGTTCCTCAGCGCTTCGCCCTGCGTCCTCGCGCTAGGCTCGAATCTGACCTCCATGATGGTCGGGAATGCCGCGCGCGTCGCCCGTCCCGGCTCTTCCGGAAGCCCCTTTGTTGCACGTGGCCGCCCCTTTCCAAGCTCCGGCGCCAGGGGGGTCGCTGCCGCTGCACGTTGTGCCTCTGCGTGCCCGACCTGTCGTTTGACGCCGCGCCTGCTGCGGCCTGGGTCTGAGTCGTCGGCGTGGGCGGCGCTGCCCTGGGCTGGGCCTGGGGCGGGGGGGGTGGCGCGGAGGGTGGTGCCGCCGACCTCGACGCGCCCTTGCCCTGGCCCGGCGGGGCTCTAGTTTCGGCTTCGCCGAGGCCTTCGCCGTCGGGGGAGTGACTCTCCTCCTCCGCTGACTCTTCTTGGGCTTCGCCCTCGCCCCGCTCGCCTGCCGCGGCTTCTCCGTCGTCTGTGGGCCCCGGGGGCGGCGGCCCCAATTGGCTCTATATCCGCTCGGGCTTGCGGGCCGCTCCCCGAGGCCCTCCCCGCCTGCCCCGCCGCCGCGCTCGTCGGGCGGGTCGCTTCGGGCTGGGCTGCCCCCCGCCCGAGGCCCCGACTCCCTAGCGGGGTTTCTCGCTCTTCGTCGCGTTCTCCTCGACCTCCGCGAGCTAGGCCCCCTGCGTCTCCAGCTGGCCGACGAGTTTCTCCTCCGACGGGGCTGCGAGACCGATCGCGCGCTCGGGCGCGCGCTCGCTGCGCCGCCAGGCCCTGGCTGCCCCCCTTGGGTCTGCGACTCGGGGGGGGTCGCCGAGGGGCGCGGCGTCGAGCGCCTCCGCGAGGGCCCTCGTCTCCTGCCCCAGCTCCCTCAACTGCTCGGGGGGGGGGGGGCTGCGTGAATCGCTGTCGTGAGCGAATCGGGCTGCTGGCGCGACTTGCCCCGCGGCCATGGCTCCCCTTCAGGTGCTGAGATAGCGCTCGGTCTCCTCGATCGACAACTGCAGAAGCTTCCTTGGGCGCCGGCGCGCGAAGGGCGCTGCGTCCTAGCCGGCCCGAGGGGGGGCCAGACGAAAACTCGACGCGTCGCTCTCTTTCTCGTCGCTGTCCCGATCCCCGCCAACGGCGGCGCTCAGTCTCGCGCCGGGCCCCGGACGGCGGCCCTCCCCAGGCGGGTCGGCTAGGACCTTGGCCCTATGTTGCGCGGCCCGTTCCGCCGAGATCTCGCCGACCCCGCCGACGCGGCAAGGCCGCGGTCTTCTCTTTGGCTCGTCGGCCCATCGGGCTTGAGCTTCGCTCGCAGCTCCGCAAGGCGCCTGCCATGACCAGGCGTGCGAGAAGAAGCAGCACCGCCTTCCTGGGGGACGTCGGGGCGATCCTCGTCGCTGCCGAACATGGCCGCCCCCCCTGCAGGATCGCCCCTCGGGGCCTGGCCCCGCTCGCCTCCCGCTGGTGTCGGGGGCCCCATCGATGGGAAGTTGGGGTGGCGCTCGAGGTGCGTCGAGATCGGGCTGCAGTCGATGCGAGTCAACGCGGACCAACTCCCTGCCCTTGTCAGGAGTGTTCATCACGCGATCGCCCCCGGCCCCCTCGCAGAAGTGCACCAGGCAGTCTCCGCCAGGGCCACGAAGCAGGGCAGACAGGGTGGCTGCTCCCCACGTCCATGAACTCGCCCTCTAAGAAGCAGCCATTCCGCCCGTTGGCGGTGAACGACCCGCCTGTCGCGGACATGGCGAACAGCTTTGCGGAGCCCTGGCGCTCGCCCCAACGCTCGACAACCTCACCGTCGCGCGCAGCCATGAGAAGAGCGCACCAGTCGCTCTGGTCGCTCGTCTTCCACGGCTCACGGCGCCTGACCTCGGGCTCCGTCCGTGCTCGGGCCAGGGCGGCGGCGGCCCTGCCCGCGGGCTTCGGGCGGGGAGGCGGTTCCTCGTGATCGACGAGCACGGGTGCAGTACCTGGAGGCCTGCTCTTCCCCGTGCCCCGACGCTTCCTCTTGGACCTGGCCTCGCCGCCCTCGTCACTGGCTGCCGCTGGCCTTTCGAGCGCAGCGCCACCGGCGGGTGGAGACGCCAAGGCGGGACGGCCCTTGATCATGTCCGCCCCGCGGGCGGTCTCGACCCGCCCATCGGGCGGGCGGGGCGCCCCGCCCCTTGCCCGTCGGCGACCTACGCCTCGAGAGGCGGACCCCAGGAATTCGGGGTCTAGCCGCGCGGCGGGCCCCCCTGTTCCGCCCTCGCAGCGAGCCTCCACCACTAAACGGCATGGCCAGCCGCGGGCGCCTGCGCGCAGTGCGCCGCGGGAGGGGGGCGTGCCGCCCCAACCGTTTTGGGCTCACTTGCGCCCAGACAGCTACTGACGAAACCATCGATGTCCGTCAATCGTGCCCCGACATACTCCCGTGCAGCATGGTCGACCAAGAGCACATCCATCATCATCATCATCATCATCATCATCATCATCATCATCATCCATCATCATCATCATCATCAACATCATCCTCATCCTCATCCTCATCATCATCAGCATCATCATCATCATCACCATCATCACCATCATCACCACCATCATCATCATCAGCAGCATCAGCATCATCATCATCATCATCATCATCATCATCATCATCATCATCATCATCATCATCATCATCATCAGCATCAGCATCAGCATCAGCATCAGCATCAGCATCATCATCATCATCATCATCATCGTTATCACCAGCCTTATCGCGATTACTACCGTAGTCGCCGACATGGTCCTCACCGACGCCATCAACATCACCATAATGTTCGTCATCGTCGCTGTCGCCGACCAGTCGTGTAGGTTTTGCCAACAAGTTGCGGGTGGACGTGTGGGTGATGTTTGCGCGAACAATGGGAATGACGACTTGAATCTTGACAGGCGAACTGCACCGCATAGCTTTCACCACACACGTTACACGACATATTTTGTACCATGTGGGTAGCACCCCCATCCATCGTGCAATTACTCACTGTTTGGGGCGCGCCAAACATAATCCGTTGTCCCAGCCTGCTCTTCTCGCCTTCCCCCTTCTTCCCTTCCTCGTCTGCGCCCCAGTCATGGAAGAGAGGTCGATGGAACATGTACTTCCACCATCATCCCTACTAGTAGTCATCTTCCTTAGTCTGGGGGCAGGGAAAGGATGATGATGATGATGAGGAGGAGGAGGAGGATGGTGATGAAGGTGATGTGGCCGATGATGATGACGATGATGACGATGATGGTGATGATGATGATGATGATGATGATGATGATGATGTTGATGCTGATGCTGCTGCTGCTGATGATGATGATGCTGATGCTGCTGATGATGATGCGGGGAGGCAGAGGGCAACGGCACCACGACAGAGATCAGACGAAACGTGTAGGATGGTGTGATGGGGAGGATTCAGTATCATAAGTGTCGGCGAAGTCCTCCTGGACGTGGGGCACGGCCTGATTGTCTGGCTCCTCTGAGGCTTCGCGAGGCCACGACATCGACAGACGCGCGCTGCGGGCTCTGGGTCTCTTCCGACGCCGCCCTTGGCGCGCTCTGCGCGCAAGGGAGGGGGTCCAGCGCCGATACACGAAAAACTCACGCGGACCTTGGAACGTGTATTCGTGTGCTGGTGTTCTTCTCCGATGGGGCCGTTGGACCGCACAGGCGTGGCTGCTGCGCCTGCTGCTGCTGACGACTGAACGGCCTCATGGGATCTCGAGCCGCACCAGCCTCATGGCGATTTTGCGTTTCGAGTCAAGTCGGGCCTGTCCCTCTACAGGAGGAGCACATAAAAATAGTAAAAAATCATAGAGGGACGATGTTTCTAATCTTGTCGATACTTTCGGACATGTTTTGACGATCTATTTCTTATGTTTCGTCCAAAATCCCCCTGTAGGAGGACACGCCCGATCCACTGTTCGGGCTGTTCTTCCTAGTGCCCCGCTGTTCGGCCAGATCAAAGGATACGGGCGCTGCGGCAGCTCCGTCAACGATCGGATCGGGGGCATACGCCAGTGTGAAGGGGCCCACAAGCACACAAATAAATACACACAAATAAAAAGATTCCCCATATTTTCCTGTATTTTCTGGGTTTTTGTCTTCCCCCCCACTTCCCATTTTTTACATTATTTTCCTGGGGATCGACGATTCAATGTGTCTGTGTGTTTCTTCCCCTCCTGACAGTGGTCGTGCCGCAGAGAATGTTCAACTGCTGCTGCTGCTGCTGCTGCTGCTTGATCTCGCCCTGCAGCCGGAAATGAACGATGCCCCAGAACAAGGCGCACTTGCCGACTGCGTCCCCCCGGGGGGGCTCATACTGCAGTTGCCCTCGGAGAGCATAGCATGGGAGGTAGTCAGGAACCAGCGGCAACGCCGTTGCCATGCCTGCAATCTGCTGCAGCCTGAGAAGTTAGTGCCGTACGTGCCGTTGAATCGGCTACTATCGCAGAAGCTTTTCCATGACGTGCTCTGCGCCTTCCCCTGCCTCTGGAAAGACCCGACGGCTTGTACGCGTGGTTGCTTGTCTGGACCACCCACAGCTGCCACGACACTCGTGCCGCACAAGAGCTGCCCACGAGCGGTGCCCAGAACCACTTCTGCATCTTCCCGGCAGTCCGAACTTCCGCCTCCTGGACCCCAGAGCCCCCCAGCGCCCAACTGCGTCAAAAAATCTTCTCGATCCTGGATCCCCCCTCCTCCTCGACCCTTGACATCCAGGAGGAGCCGCTGACCCCGTTCGTGGTGACCGCCCTTGGTACTGCCCGAGTCCACGCGCTCGCCAGCTGCATTCGACGTATGGTCAACCCAGGGTGAGCTGCCGCCACAAGCGCGGAGGAGAACAGGCGAGATGGGGTTCAGCAGCGAACGCCTGGGTGCTGAATAGCAACCCTCCGTCTCATACTCCTCCTCCTCCTCCTCCTCCTCCTCCTCCTCCTCCTCCTCCTCCTCCTCCTCCTCCTTCATGCCTTCAGGGTGCGAAGCGCCACAGCAGCTGGGGCCCTTGACGCTCCTCTCCCTCTCACCCTCGTGGGGCGGAGGGAGCAGCATGGGCAATTCCACCTCCTCTTTCTTCTCTGCGTCCCCGGGGCTCGATCTCTACCCCCCTTCACCCACTGTGCTCCGGCAGCGCGGCCGCCGCCGAGTCGAGTAGCTCCCCCGCGTCCTGGCGCCAGCTCCGCCGGCGAGCGCCGCGGCCCAAAGCCACGCGCTCGCCTGGCCGGGGCCGCCTCGACCCCAAGCGCCGTGCGCAGCTGGCGCGCCGTGCAGGGCCACTGCCAGCTCCGTTCCCCAGCTGCGCTGCCTCGCGGGGCTGGGCCGTCACGCCAGCTTCGTCCTGGGTGGCGGCGGCCCGCCAGAAGGCCTGGCGTCCTCATGGTCGGGGCGGAGGAGTGGCAGCTTGCAGTGGGAGGTGGCGCAGCGAGGGCGAGGCTGGGGCGCGACACCAAGCGCACCACCCCTGGCGCCACGATGCCGTGGCGCGCAAAGCTGTGCCGCAGAAGCCACAGTGACGATACCGATCACTGGGCGCTAGCGAGGTCGTTCGTTTCCTGCGCAAGCGCGCGGGCAGACATTCTCGAAGCTGGCGCTGCTTCGCAAAGGCAAGCGCGGGGGACGCGATGGTTTCGGGCCTCTCCGGGCCCTCAGTTCTGGCCGCAATCGGCGCGTGCCCTCAAAACGCCGGCCGCAGCTTTCCTTCTGGACTTGAACCGACGGAAGCTTCGGCCAGCCCCCTGCGCAGTGCTTCCCAGGAGGACGGGGGGGGGACAGAGAGCGCGGGCTCCTCGGGCGCGGCCTCCTCCTCCGGCCACTCGTCCTCCTCCGGCGGGTCTTCCTCCGGTGGTGGCTCGTCCCACGCCTCGCGAGGCGCGGCGGGCGCAGGTGGCGGAAGGGCAGGAGGAGGATGGGCAGGGAGGACGAGGGAGAGGAAGAGGATAGCGATGGAAGGAGCGGGCAGGAGGAAGAGGGAGGACGGCGGAGGACGAGGGAGATGAAGAGGAGGATAGTTGTGATGAGATGATGCTGATGCTGATGCTGATGAGGTCGATGCTGATGATGATGCTGCTGCTGCTGATGATGATGATGATGATGATGATGGTGGTGGTTCTGATTATGCTTATGCTGATGATGATGCTGATGATGATGCTGCTGATGTCGATGATGACGTGCCGACGAAGTCGGGATGGCCTGTGCCTGCTCTGGAGAATCCAGGGGAGGCTCGGAGAAGCTCATTCAAGATCCGCGGGGCTGTGCTGAACCACCAGTCCTCAAGTACCCCGAACCTGCTCCATGAACGGGGGGCCTCGGCATGCTTTGCGCGTCGGCCACCCACGAAAGCCGAGCTGGCCGCGACGTCAGAACGAACGCGTGCCGACGGCGCACGAGCCAGTGCTCCCGCGCAGGGGGCCCAGACGTCTGCCTTCCTTGCCCAATCCTGAAGGGGCCCCAGGACACACAAATCAATAGACACAAATATATAACCAGGCACCCCATATTTTCCCATATTCCTTGGGTTTTTGTCTTCCCCCCCCCCCCCCGAAATATTTTCCCACATTTCCCTGGGGACTCGACGATTCGTTGTGTCTGCGTGTTTTTCCCCCTCCGGACACGAGCCAGTGCTCCCGCGCAGGGGACCCAGACGTCTGCCTTCCCAGACATCCGACGTCTCGATTTTTTCGAGACGCGGGCCCCCGACCTCCCGACCACTTCCCTGGGACCGGTTTTTCATCCCGAGTCGTTTTTTGACGGTCCCGACGCCCGGCGAGGGCCCCGAGAGGCTAAAATCTATGAAAAACCTGTCTCGATTTTTTCGAGACGCCCGACGTCTGGGTTCGTTGTCCACTCTGCGGGCCAACGGAGCACGCGAGCCCACCCCCCAGGAGGGCAGCCCTGGCGCCCCCGGGCCTCGCTCCTCGTGGCCCTATACGGGGCCCCCACGCCGGGCCCCGCGGAGGCCGCGGTGGCGAGGAAGAGGCGTGGACGTCCCCTCGGCGCAGCACTTGGGCCACGTGCTGAAATTCAGCCGGGCCTGCCCCCCCTACGGGGGGATCTTCGGCAAATAGAAGATACCCCCAAGATACTCCAAACATAATCCAAAAATGGTCTGGGCACTATTTGTTGAATCTTGTTTGACCTCTTGGGTTTTATTATTTATACAGGGGGATTTTCAACGGAAAATAAAAAATACCCCCAACATGCTCCAAAAAGAATCCCCCAAAAAGGTCTGGGGACTATTTTTGGAATACCTTTTGACCTTTTGGGGGTATCTTCGGTGTATTTCTTATTTTTCGTCGAAGCTCCCCCTGTAGGGGGACACGCCCGACTTAATGCTAAAACGAGAACGTGCCATTCGGCGCGGCGTGTTTTTGCGGTCCGGGCACGCCCGGAGCAATCTTGGCGGCTGCTGGCGCAGGTCCGGGGGGCAGATTGGCTCGCTTCGTGCAGTGGCTCGCAGCAGCTGGAAACCATGTTGTCGCTTCGTGGTGTGTCGGAGGACGCCCAGACTGACAAAGGCAGATCTGAAGGGGCCCTGGGACACACAAATAAATTCACACAAACAAGAAAAGTTCCCCATATTTTCCCATATTTCCTGGGTTTTTGTCTTCCCCCCCTCACTTCCCATACTTTCCCATATTTTCTGGGAATCGACGATGAATTGTGTCTGTGTGTTCCTTTCCCTCCTGAAGATCGCCAGAGATCTGAGGACGGAGGTGGCGGGGAAGGGGCCCAAAGAGGAGGCGCCTCCGCCGTTGTGGGGCGTCGCCCTCCAGCGCCCGTGGGCAGGAGCAGTCTGCACTGGCTTGGGAGACCAGCTCGGATCGGAATGCGCGTCGGATCGGACCGCATCGGCCTGCATTCGGAGCCCAGCATTACCAGCCTGGAACATATCCCCATCCCTGTGCTGGGCATCTCCTCATCACGATGCCAATCTTCGGGATCCCCTTATTTTTTGAGGACCCTAAGATTGTCATCGCCTTTTGGCGTGTCAATCTTAAGGATAGGGATACGTTCGAGGCAAGTAATTAACAGCAATCGGATCGCTTGCGCCAGCGTGCGCCACAGCGCCGTGCAGGCATCGGGCTGCATCGTTCAGCACGGGGGAGCCGGGTCCTGAGGGAAACTGGGCCCCGGGGCCTCCCCCCAGGACGAGCTCGTCATCCTCAGGCGTTTTCTGACAGTCCTGGGGCCCGTGAAGGGCCCCAGGAACCCGAAAACGGCGACAAACTTCAGGACCCGTTTCCCTCAGGACCCTCTTCCCCCATGGCTGCATCGTGCCGTCCGCGCCGCGACACCGAATCGCGTCGGGCCAGCCAAGATCGCCAGTACGCGAATCGCATCGACCTGATCGACATCCGAGCCCTGCCGGGCGAGCGGGGCCCCTGCCTTATGTTGCATCCTCGGGGGACCTTGTCTGTCCCGTCGCGGCCCTGCCCGCGTCGAATGCGTGTCGAATCCATGTCGGACATGTCGAATCCGTGTCGAATCCGTGTCGAATCCGCGTCGAATCTATCATGCCAAATCCGCGTCGAGTCCGCATCGAGCCCGCGTCGGGCCGCCAAAAAGGCACCAATTTTAGGGACAGGCGAGTTCCCCCGAAGATGCAACAGAACCTGCCTCGGCCCCGCGGAGGGGGAGCGCCCCGCCAGAGGGCTCGCCCTCCGCACCTGCCGCCCGCGGCGCGCGCGCGCCCCTCCGCGGCCCCCGCCGCTGCTGCGCGCGGCGGCGCGGTGTGGCAGCGGGACGCTCACCGCGGCTGCGGCAGCAGCTGTCTCCTCCTCCTCCTCCTCCTCCTCCTCCTCCTCTCCTCCTCCTCCTCCTCCTCCTCCTCCTCCTCTCTCCTCCTCCTCTCTCTCCTCCTCCTCCCTCCTCCTCCTCCTCCTCCTCCTCCTCCTCCTCTCCTCCTCCTTTCTCCTCCTCCTTTCTCCTCCTCCCCTCTCCTCCTTCCTCCTCCTCCTCCTCCTCCTCCTCCTCCTCCTCCTCCTCCTCCTCCTCCTCCTCCTCCTCCTCCTCCTCCTCCTCCTCCTCCTCCTCCTCCTCCTCCTCCTCCTCCTCCTCCTCCTCCTCCTCTCCTCCTCCCTCCTCCTCCTCCTCCTCCTCCTCCTTCCTCCTCCTCCCCTCCTCCTCCTCCTCCTCCTCCTCCTCCTCCTCCTCCTCCTCCTCCTCCTCCTCCTCCTCCTCCTCCTCCTCCTCCTCCTCTCTCCTCCTCCTCCTCCTCCTCCTCCTCCTCCTCCTCCTCCTCCTCTCCTCCTCCTCCTCCTCCTCCTCCTCCTCCTCCTCCTCCTCCTCCTCCTCCTCCTCCTCCTCCTCCTCCTCCTCCTCCTCCTCCTCCTCCTCCTCCTCCCCCTCCTCCCTCCTCCTCCTCTCCTCCTCCCCTCCTCCTACCCTCCTCCTCCTCCTCCTCCTCCTCCCTCCTCCTCCTCCTCCTCCCCCTCCCCTCCTCCCCCTCCTCCTCCCCTCCTCCTCCTCCTCCTCCTCCTCCTCCTCCTCCTCCTCCTCCTCCTCCTCCCCCTCCTCCTGCCGGCGCCCGGCTTCGCCGGGGCTGGTTCCGCAGGCGCTGGCCCGCCCAGCTTCGCCGGCGCCTGGCTCCGCCGCAGCCTGGCTTCGCCAGGGCTGGTTTCGGACGGGCGGGTCGGGCGGGCGGGACCTGCGCGGGCCGCGGCAGGCGGGACTCCCCTGGCAACCAGCCGTGCCTTGTTTTGCCTCCGTCCGGGCGCGTTCATTGGGCACCTCGGGGCCTCGTGGTGCCCACTGCGCAGGCCGCGCCAGAGAGGTGCGTTCCAGGTGCAGAGCTTCTTTGGGGTCTGCTGCGGGGGGGCAGCAGCAAAACCGATCTCGCCCCGAAGTTGACGCCGCTGATACTGCGGCAGCGTGGACAAGGCGTCTGTTCTGTGTTCGGGCAGCCGGAGACCCCTGGTTGTGGTTCTGCCCCCCCCTCCTCCTCCTCCACCTCCTCCTGGGTGTGGCCTTCTGTCTCCAACGGATAGCCTTCGCGGCCACGACGACAGCGAACGCTGCTCAAAGTGAACAAGGATAGGGGAACAAAAACTGGCATAAACATAAAAACTCGGAGGTCCGCGCGGATTTCTCGGATCGGAGCTGGACCCCCCTCCCTGGCGCGCGGAGCGCGCCAGGGGCGGCGCCGGAGGCGCCGCCGGGGGGCCCCAGCGCCGAAGGAATGCTGTCGGTCTTTGTGCCCATCCTCTCCGTACCAATTCCGATGGTACCGAGAGACGGCCGTGGCGGCGCAGGAGCTGCCGCAGGGCTGCCCTGCCGGCGACGGCGGAGGCGACCTGCCGACCGCCTCGCGCCGCGAAGAGACCACGGCTGGCAGTCTTTGGGCAGCCGCCGGCCAGGACTCGTGAAGGGCCGGCTGGGGGCCCTCCACTTTGGGCGATGATGAGATTGTGAGAAGATTGACTACCTACCAGACCACCCCAACCCAACCCATGCCGACCTCCTCGCGCCGCGCAGAGACCACGGCGGACAGTCTTTGGGCAGCCGCCGGCCGGGAGTTGTGAAGGGCTGGCGGGGGGCCCTCACTCGGGCGTTGGTAAAACTGGGTTTAGTGGAACCTGGTTTACTGATCTGAACCGGGGGCGCCCCCCCGTCCCATTTCCACTAACCGGAACTGCCGTCACCCGAAAAAACACAAGCTATGGCAAACCTGGTTTAGTGACTCTGGCCAATTCAAAGGCTCCGGGGTTCTACCACTAACCGGGTCCCCTTACCCGGGGTCCTGGCCATATCCGGCTCACTTTGGGCGATGATGGGATTATGAGAAGATTGGCCCAGGATCCGGTCCAGGACTCCCAGGGAAGAGCCAGCGGCGCCGCCAGTGCGGAACTCCAGAAAGCAGTATGGGAAATCCTGGAATCCTTGGCAGTCCTGGAGCGTACCCGGGGATCCGATGTCGTGATTTTGTGAATGTGGGGTCCCTAGGAAGTCTCGACCCATTCCCCAGGCCAGGTTTTTCATCCTGAGTCGTTTTTGTCGGTCCTGGGGCCCAGCGAGAGCCCCTAGAGGCCGAAAACCACTTAATACCTACGTCTGGATTTTTGTTCAATGCGTTGGACCTCTGGGTATCAGTATGATGACCACTTGCTCCTTTGATCCCTGGGCCCTGGGACCATCAAGAATGAAGGGGCCCTGGGACACACAAATAAAAAGACACAAGTACAAAGATTCCCCATAGTTTCCCATCTTTTCTGGAACGTTGTCTCCCCCCCCCCCACTTCCCATATTTTCCAACCAGGTGGTGAGACACCCGGTGGTGACCCCGATTCCCCCAACAAAAACAATTCTGGGTCACCACCAGGTTTGGAGACACGCGGTCCCCACGAGGTTTTGTGTTTCCTGGGCCAGCCAGCGCTCGAAAACCATTACCCGAATCGCCCAAAACTCACCACTGGGTGTTATCACCACCACGTTTGGGGACCACCGAATCAAGGAGCGGCGCGGAACGGAGATGCCGCGCCGGGGGAGAGGCCCTGCGGGTGCGAGGCTGCGGGTGCGCCAGGCTGCGGGTGCGAGGAGGCTGCGGCCACCTCCGCGGGCACCCGTGCTGCCCGCGGCGGGCTTGCTCCTGTGATCACTGGGCCCCATGGGACCATCAAGAAGGCGGCGCGGGGCGGAGGTGCCGCGCCAAGGAAGAGAGGCCCTGACCTCCGGGGGGGCCCACGCCGCGGTGCAGAGCCGCGGCGCCCCCGGGGCCCCGCGTGCCCGGTGCGGGGTGCGCCAGGCTGCGGGCACGAGGAGGCTGCGGCCACCTCCGCGGGCACCCCAGACCTCCTCGCGTCGTGACAAAAATCACGACGGGAGGTTTTGCGCCATTTTCGGCCTCCGGAGGCCCTCGCCGGGCCTCGGGGCCGTCAAAAAACGACTCAGGACGAGAAGCCGGTCCCGGGGAAAGGGTCCAGACCTCTGGGGGTCGACGCTGCGAAAAAAACACGACGTCGGGGATCTGGGACCCCTCCTCCTCCTCCTCCTCTCCTCCTCCTCCTCCTCCTCCTCTCCTCCTCCTCCTCCTCCTCCCCTCCTCCTCCTCCTCTCCTCCATCTTCCTCCATCTCCTCCTCTCCCTCCTCCTCCTCTCCTCCTCCTCCTCTTCCTCCTCCTCCTCCTCCTCCTCCTCCTCCTCCTCCTCCTCCCCCTCCTCCTCCTCCTCCGCGGACACCCGTGCTGCCCGCGGCGGGGCTCGGGCCCCTGCTCTCCCTCGCGCCGTGCTCGGGGCCCTGGCGAGGCTCGTGGCGCGAGGCCGAGGCCCCGCTCGCAGAGAGCTGCACCCGCCGCTGGTACAACCTCAGCCTCGCCATCGCTCGGACGTCCACTCCCTGTGCTTTTTTCGGCTCCGTGCGTGGCTTCTTCGCCAAAGGAGCAAGGATGCTCCTCGATGGTCCTCGCCGAAGGAAACATGCACACGTCCGAGCGATGCACACGTGTATGTTTGTTCGCCGGCCCCGTCTGCCAGGCAGTGGGCCTGCGGACCAGGCCTCCTGGCGTGGGCGAGCACTCGGTCGGCTCTCTGCGCCAGTCGTGGAGGGGCACGCGGCGGCGCTGCAGGACGGCGGCGGTCTCTACCGTTACTTGCACGGCCTTGTGTTGAGCTCATCCCCCCCCCAGCCGCCAAGTCCAAAAGTCCTTGCCCTTTCTCCCGTCTCCTCTTGCCCCTCCCTCCTCCTCCTCCTCCTCCTCCTCCTCCTCCTCCTCCTCCTCCTCGTGCAAGCCACCCCCCCTCTCACCTCTCCCTCCTCCTTCTCCTGCTGTTTCCCTCCCTTCTCCGCCCAGCTCCTGCTCCTGCTCGCACACGTCGTCCTTGTGCTTCGCCTCTTGCTGCTCCTCCTCCTCCTCTCCTCCTCTCCTCCTCCTCCTCCTCCTCTCCTCCTCCTCCTCCTCGTCCTCCTCTCATCATCATCCTCCTCCTCCTTCTTCTCCACCTTCTCCTCATCCTCTTTCTCCCCTTCTCCTCTTCCACCTCCACCTCCCCGCGCCCGTCCCCCCCCCCTCCTCTTGCTCATCCTTATTCTGTCCATCTCACCTTCTCCTGCCTCCTCCCTCCCCCTCCCCTCCTCCTCCTCCTCCTCTTCCTCCTCCTCCTCCTCCACCTTCCTCCTCCTCCTCCTCCTCCACCTTCCCCCCTCGTTGCCCACACTCCCCTCCCCCTCCTCCTCCCCCTCCCCCTCTTCCTCTCCTCCTCCTCCTCCTCCCCTCCCCCTCCTCCTCCTCCCTCCTCCTCCTCCTCCTCCTCCTCCTCCTCCTCCTCCTCCTCCTCCTCCTCCTCCTCCTCCTCCTCCTCTCCTCCCTCCTCCTCTCCCCGGTGAAGCGCGGATCCCTGGACGCCCCGCGCCTCCTCGGGCGCCTCCTCGGGCGCCTCCTCGGGCGCCGCCTCGGGCCACGCGCCCTCCTCCTCCTCCTCGTGCTCGGGCGGCGGCAGCTCCGGGTCCTCCCACGGGTTCTCCTGCCAGGGGGCATCGGCCCCGCCTCCCTTCTGCATCCACTCCTCCTCCTCCTCCTCCTCCCTCCTCCTCCTCCTCCTCCTCCCCTCCTCCTCCTCCTCCTCCCCCTCCCCCTCCTCCCCCTCCTCCTCCTCCTCCTCCTCCTCCTCCTCCTCCTCCTCCTCCTCCTCATTCTCTTCCTCCTCCTCCTCCTGCTGCTGCTCCTCCTCCTCCTCCTCCATGCAGTCGTATCTTTACCTTATACGTGTGAGACAGCGAAGAGCCCAACCAGTATGTTTCTAGCAATACGCATCGTGCAAAACAGCACCATACAAAGCCCCAGCCAGTGGATTTCTAATCTTTTCGCAGTTGCCTCGGTAGGCCTTCCTCCCGCCTTAGTCTAGTCCGAATATGCGTTCCAGTCTTGTCTGGCTATTGTATATTCCTCTCTTTCTCTCTCATTATGCTTTTTTTTCTCTCTCTCTCTCTCTCTCCCTCTCTCTCTCTCTCTCCCTCTCCTGTGGTGTCCCGTGGCGCGCGGATGTCCCGTGGCGCGGGGATGTCCCGTGCTATGCTATATGCATTGCTGTAGTGTGTTTGCGATATGGGAATCGATTGTGGAATCGCTACTGATATCGATAATTCTATCCATTGAGTGAGACCGCTAGGGATATCGATAGCGGAATCGATCGTCAGATTGGCAACTAGATCGATTGAGTTCGATTGTGAGATCGATCGTGCCATCCAGAGCGAGATCGATCGTGTGACCAATAGTGAGGTCGATCGTAGTATCGATTGACGAAGTTGATATCGATCGTTTATTGACCGTGTGTTCGGCAGTGAAATCAAGTGTGAGATCGTCTGGGTGACATGGATAGTGATATCCATGCTGATATCGACTGTGAGATAGACAAGGGGGGATCGACAGTGATATCGATAGTAAGACCGTTGACTGACATGGATAGTCGGATGGATAGTGCGATCGATAGTGGTATCGATCTAATGAGATCGATCGCGATATCGATCTCTCGATTGCTCATTAATCCTGGTGAGATCAACTGTGAGATCGGTCGGGTGGCATGGATAATGATATCGATAATGATAACGACCGTGAGATCAATCAGAATATCCATCGTGATTTTGGGATCGATCGGGGGATCAATCGTGATATCGACCGTGCGATCGTTCGAGTGACATGGGTAATAACATTGATCGTACGATCGAACGTGAAACGATAGTGAAATCGATCGTGAGATCGGTAGCGCGATCGACTGCGCGAACGATCGTGAAATCGATACTGACCTCGATCGTGAATCGGTCGTGACATCAGTAGTGACATCGACAATGAAGCCGATACTGAGAGCGATCGTAAGTAAGATAGAGCGTGCGCTCGATCAGGATATCGCTAGTGAGATCGACTGTGGTACCGATAGGGGGATCACTAATGATAGTGAAACCGATTGAATGACATGGGTGATGGGAACGATCGTGGGCTCGATGGTGCGATCGATTGAATGAGATGGGCGGCGAGATCGATAACGAGATCGATCGTGAGATCGGCCAGGAACCCGGGAACCTGGGAACCAGAAGCTAGAACCCTGGGAACCCCGTCGCCCACCGAAATCGGTCCCAAACCAACAACCACGAACCAAAGAACCTGGAACCGGGACCCCGGGAACCCGGCCGCCTACCGCAATCGGCCAAGCACGTTCGCCAAATCTTTCAACCTCCGCTAGGACCCCTTAAGTGTAAGCAATGATTGGGGAATCTATGTGGGACAACCTATGTGGTACAATCTATGTGGTTCTATATATGTTGTGCACTCTGCGTGGAGCAGTCTATGTTGTGCAATTGACTACCCTGCACCGCGCCTGACCACCTCCACTGCTCGCGCAAACATCCCACCCACCCGCCCGCAACTTGGTCGCAAGACTTCTTAAGACAAGACCGTGACGGTAGGTACCACATGGCGCTTGGCCTCGACACCGACGCCGACGACGACAGCGACAACGGCGACGACGGCGCCGCCGACACCGACTACGACGACACCGCCGACGTCGACGTCGACGAAGACGACGACGACGCCGACGCCGACGACGACGACGAAGACGACGACGACGTCGCCAACGAAGACGACGAGAAGGGAGGAGGGAGGACGATGACGGCGACAACGACGACAACGACGATGGAGGAGGGAAGACGGCGACGACGCGAACGACGAAGGAAGAGGAAGGACGGCGACGCCGATGACGACACCGACGAGGGAGGAGGGAAGACGACGACGACGCCAACGACGACGAAGACGACGACGGCGACGAAATAGGAGGGACGACGACGAGATGCCATCGACGGACGACGACGACGACGAGGGAGGAGGATAACGACGAGGGAGGAGTGAAGACGACGACCACGACGACGACGACGGCGACATGGGAGGGACAACGACGAAACGCCGACGAAGACGACGAGGGAGGAAAGACGACCACGGCGACAACGACGACGGAAGCGACGACGACGCCAAAACGACGACGACGACGACGAGGAAAGAAGACGACGACGGCGACGACGACGACGACGAGGGAAGAGGGAGGACGACGACGACGACGACGCAAGAGCGCGCGCGCACGTTTTTGTTGAACATCCGTGTTGCGAAACCTTGTGTTTTTGTAGGTTTTGGAGACACGATTTTGAAATCCTTCCGAAACCGACGGGTTTTGAAGGTTTTCGGCATGCGCGCGCGACGACGCGCGCGTCTGCACTTCGTCTCAGTTCTTGCAGAGGATTCGCGCGACGGCACACGCGCAAGGGCGTTCGACAGATTTCGACATGCGCGCGCGAACCCCGTTTGATAGCATTTTGTGAAAATCTTGAAGAACCTATGGTTTTCTTACGATTTCGCAATAGCTCGCGCGGAAGGTTTTATGGCAAATCAGTGTTACGAAACCCTCTGGTTTTGTATGTTTTTTTGGAAACTCGATTGCGAAATCCTTCCGGCACCGAAGGTTTTTGAAGGATTTCGGCATGCGCGCGCGACGACGCGCGCGTGTGCACTTCGTCCCGTTTTTTGCAAAGGATTCGTGAACAAATGCTATGTTAGAACAAAAAATGTCACTGCACAGTGTTTTTTTACACGGGAACCTCAGGGGGGGGGATACCGGCCCCCCGGGGACAGTGCAAATTCATATATAGGATGGACCTGTGATCAGAATCGTATGTGATTTACATACCCGAAAGGGGGAGTGATAACGCCGGGGGGGGTAGATCCTATTCTGTTTTCAGAAAGGAGAATGCACCCTGCCGACCTTGAAAGTGTCAGCAACACTGCTCGTGCAAACATCACACCCACCCACCCGCAACTTGGTTTACAAAACCCATGTGGCGGCGATTGCGATGAGTGCTTGGCGTTGGCTGGTGCATCTTTGTGGCCGCGCTAGCCCGCGCATGCTCGCGCGCGCAACGACCAGCTATTGCGGCGCGACCGACGCGGCCGCGGTGGCGCTGACCGCCGGGCACTTCCAGCGGGCACTTCAGTGCGAGTCGGTAACTTGGGCGGGTGCGGTATCATGGCGACGCCGACAACGGTAGACACGATGATGCGAGCAGCGAAGATGGTAACGATGGTGGCGATGACGACGGCAAAACCAATGACGACGCCGATGTTGATCACGCCCGCCGATAATGATGACGATGTCCTCGCGTCGGTGACGAAGGTTTTAGAAGGAATTCGACATGCGCGCGCGGCCGACGCGCGCGAGTGTGGCCCGCGTGTTATTTGACACGGGTCGTGCCCCCCAACACGCGCGCAAAGTCGTTCAGATGAGTTCGACATGCGGCGCGAGAGGCCTGTTTAGCAGAATATGATGGCATTGTTGCAACACTTTCGGTTTTCTCAAGACTTCGCCAGAGCGCGCGCGCAGGCTCTCTTGAAAACTTATGTTGCAAACACATGTGTTTTTAAATGTTTTCGGGATGCGAGCTTTTCACATCCTTGCGAGCACTACGGTTTTTGACAGATGTCGGCATGCGCGCGCGACGACGCGCGCGCGTGCACTTCGTTAGCTTTTTGCCGAGGACTCTTGCGACAACACTCGCGCAAGGGCGTTCGAACAATGTCGACATGCGTGCGCGAGAGGCCCGCTCGGTAGCTTCAATGAGGATGTTGAAACACACTATGTCCTTCTTAAGAAGCTACAAAAGCGCGAGCACATTTTTTTTGAAAACCGTTGGTGCGAAACCACGTGCTTTTATGTGTTTGGGACACTCGGGTTTGACATTCCTACGAAACCTGATGTTTTTTTTTTCTTCAATCAACGATTTAGGCATGCGCGCGCGACGACGCGCGCGTGTGCACTTCCCCCTGTTTTTTGAAAGTGATTCTTGCGATAGTGCCCGCGCAAGCGCGTTCGAGCGATTCCGACGCGCGCGCGCCAACGGCCTGTTTGGCAGCATGTGATGAACATATAGAAATATTAATGGTGTTCCAACGATTCTGCAATACCGCGAACGCAACCTTTTTTTAGGGGAAAGCCCTTGTTGCGCAACCATGCGTTGTTACATGTTTTCGGGACAGCCGATTAAATCCGTACGAAGCCTACGGTGTGTGAGAGATTTCGGCACACGCGCCCTTCCGCCAAACAGGCGTACAACAAAAACTCAGACGATGGGCGGGGACGAGGCGGCGACGGGGTGGTGACGGCGACAGCATAGCCGCCAGACCGACGCCCAGGCCGAATTCCCTGTTCCAGGAATGAAAACCCGTTTGGGAAATAATGCGCCCCTGTCGCGCCACTAGTTGTGTCGGTAGGGCGGGCCGGGCGTTTCGCCTGAGACTTCCTCGCATTTTCTGATGCTGAAATCTGGGATGTGCAACACTTTCAACCATGGAGGGGGGTCGTTCTCAAAATGGAGCTCTCGCCTCCGCGCCGCGCGCGCTCGTCTTAGAAGTTTGCAGGGCCTCAGGGATGAAAGGGGGGCGTCTCCGAGATAGAACTATCGCTTTAACGCCGCGCGCAGTCGTCCTATTATGCGGATGGAGGTGGGCCGGTTTCAACATGAAGCTTTCGCCTTGGCGCCACGCACATTCGCCTCAAAAGTTTGCAGCCGCTTCAAAAATGGAGGCGTATCGTTTTCATAATGTGACTCTCGCCGTAGCGCCGCGCACACTCCGCTTTAAACATTGCAGCAATTTTAAGGATGGAGGACTATTCCTTTTGAGCATGTGTTTCTCATCAGCGCCGCGCGCGTTCGTCCTGACAGCTTGCAGCAATTCCAAGGCTTGGGGCATTTCCTTTTCAAAATGGGGCTTTCACATGAGAGGTCTTGAACGTAAGCGGCAACATCTTGAACATATGAAACAACTGCACGGGTGAAGAGAGGTTAATTTCCACACCTGGGTGTTCGTTGGAGACTTGTATGCTCTAGGGGGGACTTGAACAGGTGCAGCAGCTGCACGGACTGAGGGCGGTTCCCGTTCAAACTTGGGTTTTCGTTTGAAAGTTCCTCGGCGCTCACGGCCATAAAGGAACACCTGCGCAAGAGTACCCACTTGCACTGTCTGATCATACCTCTGGGTGCTCCTGAATACCCGCTGGAAGCATGCAAGGCAATTCATTCCTTTTCAAAGCGGGCCTCTGCTGAATCGCAGGCCCATAGGGTGCTGTTCGTTCACATGGGCGCTTTCTGAAGTGGAACAAGGGGCCTGCGGGGACTTACGGGGGAGGAGGAGAGGAGGAGGAGGAGGAGGAGGAGGAGGAGGAGGAGGAGGAGGAGGAGGAAGGAGGAGGAGGAGGAGGAGAGGAGGAGGTAGTAGGAGAGGAGGAGGAGGAGAGAGGAGGAGGGAGGAGGAGGAGGCGGAGGAGGAGGAAGAGGAGGAGGAGGAGGGGGAGGAGGAGAAGGAGGAGGGTCTGCTGCAGCTTCGTTGATACATCCTGGGTTCGCTCTGGTCCTCGTCCTCCGCCTCCTCCCTCTCTGCCTCCCCTCCTCCTCCCTCTCCGCCTCCCTTCCTTCCCCCCCCCCGTCTCGTGGCGAAGCGTCGAACAAGAGACACCTGCTTCGACATAGACCTTCGTAGCTCCGCGCAGGCTTCTTGGATCGGCGCTGTAATCCGCTGACAGCGCCCCTGGCGCCGCCCCCCAAAGACGGTTCAAGAAAGCCTGAGATGGCTCAATATTGTTTGAAGGGGCCCTATGACACACACACATAAATACACACGAATGACAGGATCCCCCATATTGTCGCGCATATTCTGGGTTTTCGTCTCCCCCCCACTTCCCATAGTTTCTAATATCTTCTGGGGAACCGACGAGTACTTGTGTCTGTGTGTCTGTTTCCCTTCTGATTGTTTCCGAGATGATCAGGGAGGCTCCCAGTCTGCTCACAAAACGGCTGCAAGTGGCCACGGAGCCTCCAAAGGACCCCCCCGAGGGGGCCGCACTCTTCCACAACGCACGGCGAACAACTTATGTGTGCATTCTCTCCTACACGCTTCCGATGAGCTCTGGAAGCCTCAGGGATGGCTCCTGGTCCAAGAGCGCCCCACGACGGGCCCACGATGATCCAAAGACGGCCCCGACAGCGCCGCAAGAGGGTCCCAAACGTCATCTTTAGCCCAAGACGGCCCAAGATTGCTCAACGAGGGCCCAGATAGCCCAAGATGGCTCACGATAGCCTCAGGCATACCTCCAAAGGCTCCAAGACGCCCCCAAGGCCCAAGAGGCACCCACGACGGCTCCAAATGGACCAACAAGGTTGTCAAAGTGACTCTAAGATGGTTCCAAGATGCTCGAGGATCGAACGCTTCACGAAGACTTGACGGGCCTGGTCAGGCTGACCTCAGGCTTCGGTCCTACTGCATGCTGCCCGCACTTCCCTGATCAAGGACAGCCGACTGGGTATCGTTGCGGGATGGGCTGGTGGGGATACTTTTTGGTGCGCGGGCGCGCGAAGCGGGTCGAACGCCGGGCCAGCAGGGGCAGGCTGTGCCACCAGCTCCGGGACAAACAGAGCCCCCCCCCTAAGAGGCCCCCCCCCCTCTGAGGCCCCTACGAGGCCCCCCCCGAGGCCCCTAGGAGGCCCCTAAGAGGCCCCCCCCCTCCCTCCCCCTTCTTTGATCGATGCCCTCCAACGTGACTCCAAGAGGTCCCCCCCGAGGCCCCTGAGAGGCCCCCCGCCTCAGAGGGCCCCAGCGGTGCTCCAAACGGTGCCTCGACGGGGCGCCCCCAGGCGGCACGGGCACGCCGCCGAGAGGAGCCCGCAGCGGACGATCGGCGAGGGCACCGATGGCCGACGCCCGGGGCTGCCCAGGCCGATCCAGACCTTGTGCTTTGACGGCTTCCAGGAAGCACACAGGTCCCAGGACACGCACACAAATAAATACACACAACTCCCAAGACCCCCCATTTATATTCGCACAGTTTCTAGGTCTTCGTCTTCCCCCCAATGACCCATGTCTTCGCGCATTGTCCGGGGAATCGACGATTCATTGTGGCTGTGTGTTTTTTCCCCTCCGGAATGTTGCTGGCTTCTCTGTTCTTTCTCCCCCCTCCCCCCCGGACCTCCCCCAAGGGGGGGAGGGGCACGCGGACGCAGGGAACGCCGAGGAGAAGGGGGGGGGGGGAGCGACGGGGAGTCGGAGGACGGGAGGGTTGCGGCGGGGAAGGGAGGCGGACGAGGAGGAAGCGCTGCAAGCAGCCCATCGCCGGTGCGCGAGCGGGGCGGGCTGCTGCCGCCCGAGTCCTGGAACTCCTCCTCCTGCTCCGGAGGCTCGTCCTGCCAGCGGCCGCCTGGCGGGCGCGGCTCCTGCCCATGCTCCCCTTTTCCATCACCTCTCCTCGCGCTCCCCGCCTCCCCCAGCCCTCTTCCCTGTGCTCCCGCTCCTGCGTACCCTCCGCCTCCTCCTGCTTTCTGATCCTCCTTCTGCTGCGGCTGGTGGTGCTCCTCCCTCCCTCCTCCCTCCGCCTCCTGCTCCGGCTCCTCTGACGAGGGGCTCCGCTGAAGGGAAGCTGCCGCCCGTCGCCGCAGCGCTCTCTGCGCTCGGAGCTCCGTGGCATCGTCGTGCCACGAGCCTTCGCGCGCTATGCAGGGACTCGCTCAGAAGAGGAAGAGGAGCACGATGAGGTGGAGGAGGTGAGGACGAGGAGGAGGAGGAGGATGAGGAGGATGAGGAGGTGGTGGAAAAGGGGGAGATGGGGGGCAAGAGGAGGGGGATGACGATGACGATGACCAGAGTAAGCCAGTCATGCGCCAACGCTGCGGCAGCATACCCTCCCTCCCGTCCCAACTCCCCCCCTCACAGGTCGCCTGCAAACATCGCTGTGTACCAAGGGGTGTGATCCATTGAAGGAGGATCGACCAGTTGTTCTGCCATCGAGGCAGGAACCCCAGTTTGAAAAATTACCCGCCCTCCCTTCTTGCAGCTAGTGGGAGCATCGCTTCCAAGACATGTCACACAAGTCCAATATTGGAAAGGAGCCGCACTCCACCGCGTGATTGCTGGACTTGCCAAACTGGCAGGACATCGCACATAATTACATCCCACGCAACAACACACTTTAAGAAACGAGCTGACCGATGTGTATGTGTATGCATATTCATATGTATACATATGTGTGTATGTATGCATGTTTGTGTGTATACATATGTAATATAACCTACGTCATACCAACCATTCCATCACACTCATCGCATCATAACACTTGCGCACTCGTTGGCATACGTGTCTCAACAACGCGCCCCCCGCCTATTCGGCACATCCTGCACCCGGGTAGTGCCCTTCTTGCCGGGGCCAAGCCAGCGTCACATCAATCACCGGATGGACACGCTCACCATCCCACCACCATCACAACATGGAAGCACCCGCGCAATCGTGGCCATACATATTTCGATTGCCCCCCCCCGCCTCTTTCGGTACATGTTCCATATGGACCGTGCCCCTCAGGGAGAACCACCTACGGCTTCACGGCGCACCCCCCCTCACCGGTACCGTGCCCCACAGAGGACGCCACCTACGGTCTCAGAGACAAGGTTCGCATAGCGGCGCACTCCTCACATGGATCGTGCCCCGCAGGTAGCTGTGCTTACGACGCCAGAGGGAAGCTTCGCATACGATAAAGTCGCCCCGCTCACTTCGGCACTTACACGAATCGTACCCCGCAGTGAGTTCCACCTGCGTGCGGCCCAAGAGACAAGGTTCGCATCCCGCCCCCCCGCCAACTTCGACACACCTCCCACACGGATCGTGCCTCATAGGAAGCTCCACCGGCGGCCCCTGAAGCCCTAGCCGGTGCAGGCTTCTTCCGGGCGGCCGTGCGCGGCGCGTGAGGCGCCTGTGCCCGTGCAGGCTGCCCGAGGCTGCAACGCTTCCATCGGGGGAACGAACACTGGCATTGAGGCATAAATTGAGCAGGGACCGACCGTCCCGGCATTCCTACCACGGAATGTTCTTAGAACCCCAAAATATTCTAATAACAAAATCCATGTTCTTAGAACGCGAACCCGATGTGATAAAACAAGACAAGCTCCGCCATCCATGTTCTAAACACATTTCGTGGAAAACACAAACGATTCGTAGAACATTGTTTGGTAAGGCTATAGGCACGCCGGGACGCTTCGCCACTGCTTGACATCGGGGGGAACGGACACTGACACTGAGACATAAAAGCTCGGAGGCCCGCGCGGATTTCTCGGATCCGCGCCTGGCGGGCGCCGGCGGAAAAGGGGCGGAAGGGAAGCATTCAAGGAATAACAAAAAAACATAAATATAAACGTTTTGCGCTCCGCGCGGATTTCTTGGCTCCGCGCCTGGGCCCCCCTCCCGCCTCTGGCGCCGCCCCTGGCGCGCTCCGCGCGCCAAGGAGGGGGGTCCAACGCCGATCCGAGAAGCCCGCGCGGACCTCCGAATTTTCATGCTTTGTGTCACTGTTTGTCTCCCTACTCCAGGCCATCGTGGCGCGGTGGCGTCTGAAACGCATCGTCCGGCCCGCCGTGCGTGCGGGATGGCGGACGGAGAGGGGGGGGAGGAGGAGGAGGAGGAGGAGGAGGAGGAGGAGGAGGAGGAGGAGGAGAGGAGGAGGAGGGAGGAGGAAGGATGAGGGGAGGAGGAGGGGGAGGAGAGGAGGAGGAGGAGGAGGAGGGGAGGAAGGAGGAGGAGGAGGAGGAGGAGGAGTAGGAGGAGAGGGAGTAGGGCGGAGGGAGGAGGAGGAGGACCCGCCCACGCACGCCCCCCGCGCGACCGACGGGCGCGCGCGACCTGCTCGAGCGCGGACACGGCCGCGGGAGAGAGCGGCACGAGGGCTCGTCTCGGGAGAGGAAAAAACACACCGACGCAATGAGTCCTCGATTGCTCCTCCTCCTCCTCCTCCTCCTCCTCCTCCTCCTCCCCTCCTCCTCCTCCTCCTCCAAATCCTCCTCCTCCTCTTCCTCCTCCTCCTCCTCCTCCCCCTCCCCCTCCCCCTCCTCCTCCTCTATGGGAAGTGGGAGGGAAGACAGAGACCCAGAAAATCTAGGAACATATGGGGAATAGTTTTGTTCGTGTGTGTTTTTATGTGTGTGTGTCCTGGGGCCCCTTCGTCGTCGGATGCGGAGACGAGCCAGCGTGCGCTTCCAGATCGGGCTGCGCCGTTTTAGGGAAGCGAACCTATACACCGACGCTTTTTTCCGACCCTGCGCTGAAATTCGCACGGGAGCGCGGATCCTGGTGTATACGGGATCCTGGTGTATACATGTTCCGTTGTTTCCCTTGGACAACGGGAGAAACGTATACAGCACACCACCCCGACGTCGTCCCCGACCCTAAACAAGTCCTGGGATTGAGAAACCGCTCGCCACTGGTAAGGTATATGCTCCAGTTTCCGATATTTGTTGCTGGCGCATGAAACAAAAGACAGCACTGGGAGGGTCTCGAAGTATGCACCAAGCTGGCTGGTCGGCCAACGAGGCTCGGCGTCTGCATGCCCCGGCTGCCCAGCCTGTGGGATAATGGAGCGTCTGTATCCCGAACTCCTGCGCCGAACTCCCTGGCTCTTTGGCCGACCAAACGACGTGGTGTATACACCGAGCCCCTCCGAAGCACTCGCAGCCTACAACGGAAAGACAAAAGCACCCCCCCCGCCGAGCGGACAACGGAGGAAATACCAGACTCTGTGGAAGCACGAGGGGCGCCTTTGCGACGGCTGAACAAGCATAGAACATGGACGCAGCACAGGCCAACAAGTTAAGCGACTAATCCCATGCTAAAGCGGACAGGCAACCACCACCGAACATGGAAGAAACCACGGGCACCACACCTAAACGAATATGGTGGGTCGAATGTACCCGAGCGGGTGGGAAATGGGCTACGTGCAGGGATTGCTCTAAGGGTTTGGTGCTCGGTGCTTGGGAACCTCGCATATGCTCCCCGCCGCCAACCCCTGGCGATCCTTCGCGCCGTTCCGTATCGCAGCGGCGCCAACATCCCGCAACTTGTTTGACCCTGCGGGCCTTACGTTTGCGCGCCGCGTGGGCTGGCAGACGCTTCGGGGCCGCCGCCGTTCTGTCGACCACGCCGCTTCCGGGTGTGGATCTCGCGTGCCGTGCGAACTGCGCTCGCGTGGGGGGAAGCGGGTCCTGAGGGAAGCGGGTCCTGGACCCTGGCGCCTTCTCCCATTGACGAGTTTTCCATCTCGATTCCAATCCTGAGGGTCCCGGGGCCCGTGGAGGGCCCCGAGAACCCGGAAAAACAAGGACAAAACTTCAGAGCCCCGAATCATCCGGGGTAACTCGGGTCAGGGCTAACTCGGGTTCGTTTTTCGGGAATCCGAGCCCGACTTACCCCGGACCCGAGTTGCCCCGGATAACTCGGGCGTCCAGAGCCCCAGATCATCAGGGGTAATTCGGGTCAGGGCTAACTCGGGTTCGTTTTTTCGGGAATCCGAACCCGAGTTGCCCCGGACTCGAGTTGCCCCGGATAACCCGGGCGCCCAAAGCCTCAGGACCCGCTCCCCTCTTGGCGAGGCAGCGGGCAAGTGTCGGCGGGCGGCGGCGCAGCAGGGCGGGCGCGAGCGCCCCGCAGCCGCAAGGGGGGGGGGGGGGCGGAGGAGCGGAGCGAGGGCGGGGCGACGTGCGCGCTGCGGGGGGCCCCCCGCAGAAGAGATCTCCAGCTGCACCGGAGGCCCGGCCGGCCCTCTGCTCGCTCTGCCACGGCTGCGCGGCCCGCGGTCCGAAAGGCCTGCGCGGCCCCGTGCGCCAGGGATGCGTGGCTGACCGCGTCCGCTTGGCGCCACCTCCTGGTCCTCCTGGCCTCCTTGCCTCCTCCCTGGCTCCTGGCTGCCCTCCTGGCCTCCTGGTGCTTCCTTGCCTCTTCCTTGCCTCTTCCTTGCCTCCTCCTTGTCCTCCTTGTGCCACCTCCTCCCCTCTCCTTGTCTCCTCTGTGTCCTCATCGTCCTGCTCATCCGCCACTTCCTCCTCCTCCTCCTCCTCCTCCTCCTCCTCCTCCTCCGCGTCCTCCTATGTAGCAAGCCCCCTTTTCCCAATTGCGCATAACACGAGACGCTATGCTTTCTGAGTTCCCGGTCGGCCAGGACACGCGCCCGCGAGCAGAGCAACGCTCCGTGCAGCGGGAAGGGATGCGCAAGGGAGGATGGGATTCGGGTACACCCTGGCCTGGATTGGGGCCCCGTGGATCTGGCGCGCTGGCGCCCTGCCTCGGGGAAGGCCCCCCCGAGGCAGGGGTCTCCAGTGCCGCAGACGATCTGGCGACGGAGCGCGCCTGCCGCGTGCGGAAGCAGGGCCCGTCGCTGATCCGCGC